ATATATTTAATGTGAATGAAATTAAATCATCGTTTATCTAGAGAAAACTTCGAAAAAGTAAAGAAGATGAGAGATTATGTATCGATTGTGATTGAAACTGTGGAAGTGGAAAAAAATAAAATTTCATATACTACAGTCAACTGCTGCTTTAATGTAATATGTTAATTGATTTCGAATTGGTCTAGACAGATCTATCTTTCTCGCTTCTTTCTAGATTTCCATGCTGATTCGTCCGAATTATTTTGTAATAGACATTTTGATCATGTTTCTATAAACTGATGTTTTTTTCCAGTTCTCTTCGTCGGTCTACAAGTTGAAGAAAAGTGAAGATATTAAAAGAAAAGATCCCTTGGCAAAAAACAACTTCATTTAAATGACTTTTCTTTTCGATAAAAAGAACGATCTTTTCTAAAAATTCGAAATTTTGCTCACCTGGTGTACATTAACTCTTCGAAAAGAACTCTTGAACAACTTATTCGTCTTTGATCAAATAGTTATAACAGATATACTTCCTAGAGTTGTACAATCAGTCCAAAATTTAGCTGTCTATCACTAATTGCTATGGAAAAAAGTTGTATCATATGTTAACAAAATTCATAGAGTACTTTTCATCTATTGCTACAGTATGTCATCTCTCGAAATGCAGTTTGCTAACTAAAATGCTACAATATATAATATGATCTGAGTACATACTGCTTAGCACTTTTGAAATGCATCAAGTATGTATGAAAATAAGGATTAATAAGAAAAATTTTATACTGGTCCAAACATTTGATTTCTCAGCAAATGGATGTGGATTTTTTCTTATACTATTGAATTTATATCATTTCGTAAAATTGATTGAAAACATTAATTATGGATTAAACAGTAGTTTTATATGTAAAAATTTCGATAAACTACAATCAATTTTTTCATTAAAATAATTTTCTTCATGTTTTTATGCTAACATTGAAGTAAGACGTATCTCAGTTAATATGTAAAATAAAGTGTTGAGAAATTTTTTCTGTGTAACACATAAAATGTTTGTACTATTAACAAATCGTTGAGATTGACTTTGAATTCTTTTTTTTCTGCATCAATCGTACCAAAACGTTTGTTGATTTCTTAACCAATTTTTTTTTGTTGTTGTTCATCTACAAGGTTGTTTCTTTCTTTTTGTTACAAAGTTTGTTTGTACATACATACAATCTGTCGTTGTTGCTCGGTAAATGGTATTAGTAAGAACAAAAAAAAAAGATTGACAATTTGTTTATATGCATTTTTAAATCAAAGAACAAAAGATATGTCAAAAACTGACAGTAATATTGTACAAGATTCATTTAAAAAAGTAAAACAAGACAAAAATTAATTCTTAATTGATATGTTTAATTTTTTTTTTAGAGACCAACTCTTCTTTCACGAGGTCATGTAAAACAACGTTTTGTTATAATTAATCATGATTGGTTTATACCAGTATCATTTATACGACGTTTAAGTTTGAATAATAGAGAAAATGAACTTGAAAGTATTTTATTTCCTTATGATGAAACATTTAATTCAGAATGGCAATTATATATTGAACATCAATTACATCCATCACGTATACGTATTGGTCTTATGCTTTTAGAACCACATGATAGATGTATTCATGCTGATATTAAATTAGTATTACTTACAACAAATGATAATCAAATTATAAAAGAAAATTTTTTTTCTAAACATAAATTTTTTCTTGGAAAAGGCGAATCTATCTCATCATATATTAATGAACATATATCACCAAAAATTTTTTTTGATATTGAAGATAATCTTTATGAAAATATAATTAATGGTAAACAACATGGAAATTTATTCAATATAAATGATTGTACAATTATTGCTGATGTAAGATTTATTAATGAATTTGATATTGAACCAAAACCAAAAACATTTGATTTTTCAAGACGTTTTACTGTTGATTGGAAATTAATAAAATTTCGTCATATTATTGTACAAATGAATCAATCGAAATTAGCAAGTAAAATTATTTATATTAAATTTAATTACTTAAAAATTATATCTATACACTACAGATATCTTTATTCCTATTATATTCATCAATTATATCATTATAATGATGAGATCTGTATATATCTAGATAAAAGTATTAGTATTCAAAGCGATAGAATTCTTAAACATAAAAAAACAGAACTCTGCCTAGATTGATGACATTTCTTAGAGATTGTAATAAGTGAACTTGATATAAACAGTTGTTAATTTGCATGAATTTGATCATGAGAACAAATATGAAAACGTCAAGTATTCATTTTGTCAAAAAAGCTGATAACTACAGATTCAAAAGTTTTGGATCTGATGGACTATAATTACGAATGAAATATATAAGTAGTGTTTTGAAAATATTTATCTTTCAATAATATACAACATATTTTAAATTGAACTCGAACAAAATCATAGTCAAGAAAGATAAACTATTTCTCTCATGTTCTGATTGAAAGTTAAAGAATTTTAGAAAAAAAAATTATAAAGAGAACAACCTAGGTCGAGAAATACGGGCCGATTCCCACAGAAAAACACCGGAAATCCGCGGAACTAACAGGAACTTGGCAAAACCGGCAGCCGAATACGGTCACCAGGTTCCTGCGTCGAATTCCTTGCATTTTCCCGCGTGTTCCGGCCGGAAACGGTGTGTTTCCTGCGGGTTTTCACCGGAAATTCACGGAATAATGCTTCAGAAATCATCCACCTGGGAAGACATATTGTAGTAATCATTCTGTATTTTGTGTATATATTATCATTCTATAATAATTTCTGACTACTGGATCGCTTCAAATACTTTGAAATTTCAAAGAAACATCGAGGTTTTAGAACGCTTCAGTTTTTTTTTCAAATAAAGATCGGCGTATCTTTCAGAATTCTTCAAATACAAATAATGTCCTACATATTATGAAACTGTATTAAGATTCATTGTTTTTGCAACTGTGGCAAACAATTCTGCATACTTAATATTAAATAAGTACAGCGTTTCAAGTCTATAGCTTTTAATATTGATGAAAAACTATAACAACACTGTTACATACTACTCCTGCGATTATCACCGGAAGAATAGTTTGATACTTAAACGAGCGGATATGTTCTGCTGTCGCATACAAATAGTTGTCCTCCAACTGGTAGTGTACTGACGATAATGCGAATAAATCTGAGTGTATGCGACATCATTTTTCAAGATAATGAAGATCATAAACAAAAGATGCAGATGAATTTGAATAGTGTCAAATCTGCTTTTTTTATCAATAGTATTGAACTACAAATTTATGTTGCAAAACTAGCTAAGATTTGATAAATGTATGAACGATAAATTTTAAAATCGTTTCAGAACTTTTCGAACATGTCTTATTCATTTCTTTTAGCTGATAATAATCGTCGTCTTCTTTCGGATCGTTTTCAATTTACTCATTTTAAAATAACTGATGCTCTTGCAAATAAAAAATGGAAACTACAAATTCATTATCCTCAAACATCATCAATCAATAAACAAACTCCTTTATATTTAACGTTAAAATCTCTCAATTCAATAGAACCAAATTATGGTAAATTTGAAATCATATGTCAAAATGAACATCATATTCTTCGACGTTATATTGAATCTATAGAAAATCTTACTGATAATTATACTATAGAATTTTTTACACTTAATGAATTATCAACAAATATTTATCCATATAAACAAAATTTTGATAAAAATAATGGACGAGTTGTAAATATTGATTATATTTTACTATCTATACAAATTATTCAACCATTACAAGGTTTTGATATATTAAAAAAAATTAAACGTATTAATGAACCAACAATAATTTCATTGAATACTACAGGAAAAGTTCATAATAAAAAAGAAGAAAAATCCTTAAAATCAACTAGAGAACAACATAATAAGTCTACAGTTATAGAACATGAAAAACTTAAAAGTCCAATTAATCAAGACAATACAATAACAACATGGAATAATACACGAATGGTAAGATACATTATTAATACTGAAATGATGAGGTTATCGAGTTTTTGTGACACTCGTTTAAAAGAAAACTGTTTTTTTTTTTCTGTGCATTCAATATATCGATGTCTGAAACCAGTCACTTTCAAATTTTAGCGTTCAAAACTGTAAAAGTTTTATTCTGTTCCGTTAATTCAGTATTAATCGACTCAAGTTATATAATCCCAACATGAATAAAAATGGTTCTTTCGACGATTCCAAAATGTTCATTTGATAACAAACTTTTCCTCGGGATCCGAACAGTTGCTCGCTATAGGACTCTATGTAACTGTTATAGCGAGCAACTGTCCTAAACCCCTTTTCCCCATCGAGATGCAGAATTAGAGAGTTTCAAACACAATTTCACACATGTTATGCAACTTTTTACTCTCTAAAAATCGAGAAAAAAAATGAATATATTTTGTAGTGATTTCAATTGCTATGACAGTGTCGTAAAGTCAGTTAAACACAGTCTAGAGAGAGTTTTTTCTTGTAGAAAAACTAACCTTTGTGAATCCATGAGGTGAAATATTAATGCAATACAACCATGAGACACTATAGGAGAATTATTTGCAAGAAAAAAATTTTTCTAGAATGTGTTTGACTCAATGTAATTTTTGACAATGACTCCAAATCTCGTATTTATTTTATATAAGAGAAATATATGAAACTTCGTTGCATTCTGAAGATATCATTTATTTTTTTACTATTGCGTAGACAGTAAAAAGTTGTATAACATATAAAACTTAGTTTGAAACTTTAATTCTGAATCTCAATAGAAGATAGATTATTATCAAATAGACACTTTAGATTTATTGAAAGAAGCATTTTTTTTTTATTCATATTTTGTTTTATAAAACTTAACTCTATCAACACTGTATTGTATTGTTTAGTTTTTCATTCTCTATCTATTAGTATAATTTATACAGAAATTTGAATAACTCATCAAAACAAGAACGAATATAACAATTGCAGAAATCTTTGCTAGTTTTTCTAATAAGAATATAACAGAAGTAAAAAATCAGTATTGATTAACCTTTAAAAGAAAGATTATTGAAAAATATAACTTTAGGATTATTAATTTCAAGGGTTTAGGACAGTTGCTCGCTATAACACTTACATAGGGTCCTATAGCGAGCAACTGTCCGGATCCCTAATTTCAGATATTGATGCATTGAATGCACAAAAAAAATTTTTTTTTTTTCAAACAAATACCTCGTACACTCGATGTTTTGAAATATTTATTATTGAATTTCTTTCTAGACAAATCAGATTTTACCACCAATAAGAATTTCAAATAATTCTTCGATTCGTCTTCAATCATCATCATCAAGTATACAAAGATTACCAAATATAGGAGAAAATCATATTCAATCATCATATTCCTGTATGAATAAAACAATACAATTAAATAAACAATCATCAATAATTACAAGTGCTAATACAACAAAATCTTCAGATTTAACTGAAAATTTTACATTTCTTACAAATTTATTTCAATCAGGTCTTCATTCAGATATAACAATTTATTATCATGATTATCAATGGAATTTACATAAAAGTATACTTTCATCACGTTCAATTTATTTTAATCAATATTTTTCAAAATCAAATATATCAATATTAAATTTATCCGATGATAATGAAATATTATCATCAATTATACTTGATAAAATGTTTTTTTTTCTTTATACAAATCAATATATATTAGAAAAATTATCTCATTTATCATTATTTGAAACAATTCATTTATTATTTAATTTATCAATTAAATATGGTATTGATACATTAACATATATTTGTTTACAAAATATGTGTAATATAGATAATTTAAATATAAATAATTCTTCATATATTTTAATTGCTTTTTATCAATCAATAAATGGTCCATATGAAAAATATCATACAAATGAATATTTAATACAAATAAAAAATTTAAAACAAATTATATTACGTTTTATTCAATTACATTTACGAGATGTTCTTCTTTCATCACAATGGAAATTACTTGAAAAAAATTATCCATATCTTGTTCATGATGTTTTAGAATTTATTGTTTTTGAAAAAATATAAGAATAAAATAAAATTAATTTTATATCAAAATAAACAAATATTGAAATAAGAGGAAAAATTAATTTTCGAATATCGATTTGCTACTTTACTTAGAGAAAGATCTTAATGAAAATAAGTTTTTATGAACATTTCAAATCTTATTATTGTACTTATTTTAAGATACGGCTATAATAAAAATGTATCTTTTACACATAACGCAAGATTCAATGTTTCTACTTTATGATAGAAGCAAATTAAAAAGACTTTAAAAAATTTTCACAATAAACTATTCTCACGAAGATCGACGTTTTTACAAAGTTTCAAATTGAAATTCAAAAATTAATTTTTTCTGGCTTTTCTAAAGAGGATTATAGCATTCAAGAGTTAGGTCTATTTAAGAACATTCAATTCACAAATAGATTTCTTAGTTAAACCCTAGTTGTTCTCATCAATACTTGAAATGGCTGATCTACTTTCGATTCTAATTAGTAGAAGGGCAGAAAATCTGTTTCTGACACTGATAAATCTATCAATTTTATCAATATGTATCAAGTCTGTACAAAGTTAATAGTATATAGAAGACTTTATGACTCAATCATAAGCCACTGACTAGTGACTCATAGTAAAGAATAGCCGAAAAGCTCATTTACCACAGAAAAAATTGAATATCTCTGCCATACTTTGACTAAAGAGGTTAATTCTTCTACCATCGATAAAGAAATATCCATAGCTCGAATTCATAGGAGAAACATTGATAAATGTTGTTCTGAAGTATTATATCTGTCATAAATAAAGAAATGGAATAACCTTTCACGAATTATGCAAAAGTAATATTCATATCGCTACGAACAGATTAATCTTCAAGAAAATTATATCCACAAAAAAAAAAGAAGAACGATCTTTGTTTCTAATCGTGATCTATCAACCTGTAAAATACTCAAATTCTATCAGTCTCTCTCGATTATTTCTTGAGTATAATTATTACATTTTTTTTTTCGCTTCAGTTTATATTACACTCAAGAACAACAATATGTACTATTAATATGAACTGTTTTCATCTACTAGGAGAGAAGCAAGACATATATCTTTGAAGCACTTTTTTCGTCTGAAGTCCATACGTACTTCAGATTGATGGATCAGGATTAAAAGAAAAAAAACTGCTTTATTAACAAACGATATTTCAAACAAATTAAAATCATTTATAATAAATAGAAGAAAAAAACAACTCCATCTATTTTCAACCATCAACTACTGACTTGTATTTATTATTAGAGAATGCTACAGATTATTGTGTTTAATAAGTTGTTGTTCATGTCTTCACGAACGAAAAGAAAAAAGAAAAAGTACAGTTTGTTGATTTTTATATGAGTAACATATTAAGAAAGCAAAAAAGAAAAAGAGAGACATACATTTTTAAAAATGACGACAATCTTATATTTATTCAACTGTATTCTTATTTTTTTCTTTACAATTGGATTAATATCTAGTTCTTCTACTCAACAACGAATTTATTGTGTTATTAAAACTTTTGGTAAAAATTTAGCAACACGAGCTTCAACTATTCATCATACATGGGCACATCGATGTGATAAACATATATTTTTAACAGCAACTAATCTTACAAAATGGAATAATATATCATTACCAATATTAAATTTATATGATGTTAGTGATAATTATATTGAATTAAGTATTAAAGTATTTGATGCACTTAATCTTATAATTCAACAATCACAACCTTATGATTTTGATTGGTTATTTATAACTGATGATGATACATATGTTATTATAGAACATTTACGTCAATTACTTTATTATAGTATAAAACCATTAGCATTTGGACATTTGTTTGTACCTAAAAATGGTGCACCTAGTCATTTAAGTGGTGGTGCTGGTTATGCAATAAATACAATTGCTCTTCAACGAATGTTACCAAATTTACAAACAAGTTGTCCACAATGGTATGTTCCAGGAATGGAAGATGTTTATATAAGTCGATGTTTACAACATTTAAATGTATCTTTAAATGGTGCTATTGATGGTTATCATCATCAATTTTATCCATTAGAATTTCTTAATATGTATAAAATGGATATTCCAAAATGGTTTTCAGATTATAATACATTAAAATCTTATCAAGGTTTTAATTGTTGTTCATCACAATCGATTACATTTCATTATATGACGAGAGAATGGATGAATTTTATTGAATGGGCACGTTATTTACATGATAATGAATGAATAAAAATAAAATATTTATTCAATATTTTTACCTAATGAATTTTTTTATTTTTTTGTTCGAAAAAATCAAAAATTTGTTGTACATACTTCTTTTTAGAATATATATGTAAGTGACGTAAAAAAAAAGAAGTTTTATTATAAACATATCATATGATAGGAACGACTGAAAACGAGCGGACACTTTCATGTTAAGCTATTCTCATTGTATCAATTCGAAAATCAATTTTTCTGATGTTTTTGAGATGATCAAAGTATTAGACTTAAAATTCTATAAACTTATAAAAAAAAAGAAGATCAAGTACTCGAACTCATTTTAATATATTCCTTTTCATTACGATCTTAATAATGCATATAGTCCTGATTCAATATCGAACAATCAATTAGAAGACTTTCTTTTTGATTGTATTTATGAAGGCTATACAATTTTCTATATGTATAGACAAGACTCTTTATTGACATCGTATAAATCAACAAAACAATTAAAAATATACAACCATTGATAGATTATTAATTAATGTTTGTACTCAAATGATTTGTTTATATAAACAGATAATATGTTTAGGAGAAAGTCTAAATAAATTCTTGTATAGAACTTTTCATGTAAATAATGCAAAGATAGATCACAAGCTTCTAATATCAAATAATGAAAACTATGGCTAAAACAGTATTTTTTTGTCTAGCAATAAAAGTATTGAGAAAAAAAGACATCTGCTATTATCTGTTTTACATAATTCAAAACATATGATTTATTCAATGAATCAATATTTATTTTTGATGAAGAACATCATATAATACAATGCATTATTCAAAAAGAAATTATTTTATATTTCTTTATATTCATTTTCTATTGAAATTTTTGTCCAAATCCCAAGCGTAAAAATAATTTTAATGATAAATGAAATTTTATTAACTATTCAAAAAAAAAATGATCTCTAGTTTTGCTTTCTTGTTCAAAAATATCTTATACGATTGTATTTGAAAGAATCATATGCATATGATGAAGAAATAATATGTTTTCATTGCATACAATGATTAAACAGGTGTAGAATATTAAAAAACAAAATGTGTTTTTCTTCAAGTATTTTTTTCATCGATAATGTAATCAAATATGCTTTATTCTTTTCTTTGATTTTGATCATTTACTCACTATATTGTTTTCTTTCTTTGAGTCTTGATTGTCGTAATTATAGATGCCCTGAGTTGAGGTCAAAGAGGCAACTTCAACCTTGAAAAATTTTTATTTTTGTCCTAGTGAAAGTTTTAGTATGTTTATTGTTCGTTTTGTTCACCTATTGAAAAAAAAATAACAACGTTCGACTTCTTTCTCACAATATTTTGACGATTTCAAGACATTCATGATTTAATAAGTAAAAATTTTGAGTATATTATATAATACATATCGATTTCATGCTGTCAGTATGTTTTTCTTTTCTATATGTGATACGATATAAATATTTAATATGTGAATGACATCTATTGCAAAAATCTCCGAATAGGCTTCAATTGGATACAGGAATCCGTATTCATGGCTATTACTGATTGGATGATAAGTGTTTACGACGCGATGATGTTCTTTTTCATCACCATATTTTGTATTTTAAATAAGCACCCACTCCATCATCATATGTTTATGTAGAAAAAAAAGAATAGTCTTATTTTAGCATATTAGTTTTATTTTTTTTTGTTACAGTCAATTGAAAAATATAATCGTTGTTCTTTTTTTTTTTTATCAAGATTATTTCAAGTCAATAATTCAAAATATTAGTATTATTGTTGGTTTTTTTTTTAAATTCCAATTTCGTTCATAGTGAGTATTTTATAAATGAATTTTTATCATTGTATATATATATATTTCTGTTAATAGATCATGGATGGAGCAGGTGGTAATCCAGGTAGTGGTGGATTTGATCCATGTGAATGCATTGTAAGACTATAAAAACTAAAAAGATATGTTTTTTTTTTACTTAAAATTTTCTTCTTTTGTTTTCGTAAATTAATTAGAATATGCTTCAAATGAATCATGAACGTGCTATGAATCGTTTAACTGATATGCTTCGTAATGCACAAACAACATGTACTGATACAGAATGTTTTACTGGTCCATGTATGATTAATATTGAATTTACTTTATTTTTTTTTCTACGACAATATTCTTTTATTTATATTTAGTACCAGGTCTACCAAACACTGGTGGTGGTGGTGGTAATACAGGAATGACGAACGTATATATTATGTTAGCTATATGGTTTGCTATTGCTCTATTACTTTTTCTTTTTCGACCACGTACTCTTCGAAATAATCGTGAAACTCTTGGAAAACCAAGCAATCAAGTAAGAATTGATTATTTTTCATTCTTTCAAGTTTATATTTTGTTTCTTCTTTAGGGTCCATCTCCTAATGACCAAGATCCTCCAGGACCCGAAGTACAATAGGCAATCCATGGTCAATAATATGTAACATATATTTTCCAGCATCATTTTATTTTATTTTGTATATCTAAATCGACGACATAAAATATATTTGTATACTTTATTTGCGCTTATTTTTGGATTCAGTAAAAAAAAAAAGACATATTCGAATATCAAATCTATATATATGTACTAGGATTGTTCATAAACAAGCTTTATTTTACGTGATAAAAAAAGAAGGAGATTGGTTTAGGGTAAACAAAGTTTTTTTTTTTTCTTTTTTGTATACATATATTTTCTTTTATGTAATTATTTTATTCTCGTTTACGAACAGTGGGTTGTATTATAAGATTTCGCGATCTTTTTTCTTTTTTATTCTCGGTTAAATAAATTATCATTTAAATGTATAGAGTTATCTACATGTACCTTGCACTGTCTTACCCTGTAAACGGAAAGTACACGAAAAAAAACAAAAACAAATGCACTGTGTTTTGCTCTGATCGATTCATTGGAGTTGAGTAGATTACTTTGCTAAGTTGACTTATTATCATGGAATTGAACAAGAAAAAACTTTTCTTTATTATATTATAAAATATTATTTTTTTATTTAAATTCATTTTACTAACAAATAAAATGTATGAATATCAATAATAAAAAAAAGAAAGTAAATCATATAATATGAATAACCTTAATAAATCAATAATAAATGTTTTTCTACTGATTGTATATTAAGAAAATATTCTTTCATTTAAACTATCATTAATAACAGAAAATTCTTTTATTTTTATCGAATTCAAATCATAAATACATCAATCAATTTTATTGTTTTTTTCTTAAATTATATTAAAAATATTTCATTCGTGCTTGAATTCTTTTTTTCCGAGTATGAAGACTTCAATCTGTCTTATGAATAATATTTTTGATATATGATGAATATAAATAATCATTGAAAGTCAAAGGGTTAACAAAAAAAAAAACTTATGTTATTGGTTTGATATAATCATTCTATGTATTATCAAATATGTTTGTAAAAGTACAGTTGTCTGTATATGGAATATTTGCTCGTTATTCTTACGTTAGGAAATTTGCGTAGAAGAATAAATGACGTCGATGTCTTTTTTTTGCTTTCGTTTGTTTATAACGATCTTCGACAAGAGAAAAAGGAAATATACAGTTTTTATTGATATCTATATAGTGTTTGGGTGTTATTTTCTTTTCTTGCTAATATAACAGGAAAAAAAAATGTTAAGATATAGAATGGATAATTCTGTTTTTTTTCTTCTTTTCCTTCTACTGATAATTGTTATTTTATGAATTGTCACAAGAAAAAAAAAATATACAGGACAGTTATAGTGACGTAGATTGCCAAGTGCCTCCGCCTTTCTGATAGTAAGCAATAAATACGATTCCTTTCTATATATTTCTTGTACATTACAAAGTTCGAATTATATTTTACTTGACTAGAATAAAAAGTTTTGTAAGTAATAAATAGATTATAGATACTTTTTTAAATTATTACAGTTTAAATTTAGCATTTAAGTTTTTATTTTTCTATATATATATACTTCAGTGCGTTCGTTTCTTATTTTCATCATTCAATACTTGTTTATTCCTGAAGCATTATCATCTCAATCTAAATCAATAATAATAGAGTTGATATATTTTCAATTATCCAAATCATTTACACTATTAATTTCATTGTAGTAAAAGTACTAAATAGAAATATTTTCATAAATTTGAATAGTATAAATATATTATAAAATTAGTTTCTAAGTAGATCTGTAACAGTTCATGATCAAGAATTTGATTTGATATTACGCATCTAATTCTTTTCAAACGAACTTGCACTGATAATCAGTTCTTTTTTTTTTGACAAGAGTAGAGTTGTTATCTTATCATTATCAGTATACGAAAAAAAAAATAATCACACCTGATCGAACTTTCGAAAAAAGAATTACTTCTTAAAATTATGAACTATATTTTTCAATGTTCTAATAAATAGTAATATTTTTTTGATTTTTTTAGTTTAAATAAATACAAGAATGAGTGGTAGAAATGGTAAGAATTAAAAAAAAAGAAACCTATAAATTAGTTTTCTTTTATTTTCTATAAATTTAGTTCGGGGTATGAATAAAAAAAAAAAAAACTAGCTGTTTAAATTATTTGAAAAATTTTCTAATTAATATCAAGGAGGTGCTCATGCTGCTGGTGGTTCAAAAGCAGCTTTTGCTATGTTTCAACAAAAAGATGTAGCCGCTGGTGGTACAGGAAAAGTGACTAGGTAATTATTTAATAGAAAAATCATTAAAAAAAAACAAAAAAAATCTCTAGTGAAACTGCTGGTGCACCAACAAATCCAGCAAGTATCAAAGATCGTCTTCTTGTTTGGTGTCAACAAACTACAAAAGGTTATAAGGTAAATTAAATTTTTATTCTATATAATTGATTGTATTTTTTTTTTCAATATTCAATATATAAAGAATGTTAATGTAACAAATTTTTCATCATCTTGGGCTGATGGTATGGCATTTTGTGCATTAATTCATCATTATTTACCAAATTCAATAAATTATGATGCACTCAATCCAAAAGATAGACGAAAAAATTTTGAAATAGCATTTGCAGCTGCTGAGTAAGTTAAGAATGTTTTCTTTAAAAATATAAAATATTATCTTTAATAGAAATAATGGATGTGCACCATTACTTGATGTCAATGATATGATTGAAATGGGTGATAAACCTGATTGGAAATGTGTATTTACTTATATTCAATCACTTTATAAACATTTTGTCATGATGCCAGAAGCAAAGGCAGCTAGAGCAGCAGCAGCACAAGCTGGTCAAAAATAAAAATAGACAGCAAAAAAAAAAAAAACGTACACACACATATGAACATTTAGCTTTTTCTCATTGTATCTTAATTCATTCATTTCATATTATTTAATAAAAATTTCTATGATAATATGCAAGCACAAGCACTATGTGGTTTGATCTTTTCTAAATGATAATGTTGTTCATATTGTAAATGTTTAATTGCTGTATACATGGCATCACCAATACCAACATTTCCTTTAACACTTATATCAAATACATCAAAACCATTTGATTTTAATTTATCAATAGATTCTTGACTAACAGCACGATTTTGTTCAAGATCAATTTTATTTGCTATAAGTATAATTGGTATTGACATTAATTGATTAGGAAATTTTAAACGAATTGTTTCTTGAAAATAATTTAATTTAGAAAAACTTCTTTGATCTGTTATTGAAAATATTATAAAACATGCTGTTGGAATTGTATCAGAAAATTTCATTTTTTGTATATCATATATTGTTGATATATCAAAAAATATTAATATACAATCATTACCATCAATTACAGTTGGATATATAGTTGAACCATCAGTATTAATATGAGAACGACTATGACAAGGATATTCATTTCGAACATAACGCGCAATAAGAGATGTTTTTCCTACTGCTGTATCACCTATGACTATAATACTAATAAACAACAACAACGACAAGTAAAATTATCTATATGAATATATTATATACATACCGATATTCTAATGGACGTTGTATATGACGTTTTGGCATAATGTCATATATATATATGAAAATTTGTTATTATTTCTTTTGTCTATCGACACAAAATGTAACGAGTTGTGTTTTTTTTTGTTTCTTTTTTTTTTAGAGATATGTAACGAAATATTGAATATTTACTCAAAAAGAATGTGACGAAAAAAAAAAAGAACACTTAAGTAACTCGACAACGTAGAATAAATTAACAAAGCAATGGATGTTTTTTTTTCTTTGTTATTGATCCTAAATAAATAGAAAAATTTTGAAATTTTGATTACAATGACTATTGATATATTATAATAAACATAATTACAAAATATTTATTGATTTAAAAAACGAAAAGAATTCTATATTGATATAATTTATGTATTATTAGATGACGCACATTGTTTCATATATTTTATTTTATTTAGATATAAAAAGTGAAATTTAAAAAGTTTTCATCATGAATTAAGATACAAAAAAAAAAAAAATCTAACGATCGAATTCTTCTATGTTTCTATTTCGACACATAAATACAAATAAGAATTCAAAGAAAATATCAATATATACAATAGAGTTAAGGTACCGATAAATCGATATTTTGATAGAGTTTGTTGAATTATTTATAAAAAAAAAAAATCTATTAAAAATATTTTCAAGTCAATTTTAATTTAACAAATTTCGAAAGTACATTTTGTTTTGTTCGGAAGTTTTTCAACATATGGCTGATATATTACTATTTTCTTATATAGTACCGATATAAATTATTCTAATTTTTCATAGAGAAAGATAATTTACTGGGATTAGAAGTTAAAACGACTACACAAATCATTCGGATATAATTAGGATTAGAAACATGACTGAATAATTTCTAAAGGGATACTTTCCAAAAACATCAACTCTCTTCATCGATATCTATAGGGTTTTTTTCAGAATCTTGTAATTTCGTTATTTTTGTCTAAAACAATTTTTTCTGAAATTGTGGATTAAAATAAAATCAATGATAAATGTACGAAAATAGCAATATATTAGTCATATTCTAAAAATTTTCCGAAAAAAGATAGTGTATTCAAATTGATTTGAAAATTTTTCTAATAAGACTTTTTATAGATAATTCAAATAATATAAAACTTATTGAAAACAAATTTGCTTGTTCTTATCACAATCATCAAATAGAATAGTTTCAAGAGTCGTTTATTGTCCTTGACTCTCATATGCAAGTTGAAATTTTGAGCTTTTTTTTTGTTTTGTTTTAGTTTTCATATGTTTTGTTCTTTTGCATTTTTTGATGTGCAATAAAATATATATGTTGTCTATAATGTCTTATAGTTATGATGATATATGATCCATGATGATCAACTCTATTTTAAACGACAGAAATTATATTAAAAAGTTTTAGCTCATTTTATACATATGTGAAATTTGTTTTATTGTGATTTTTTTTTTTGTTTAAGAATGCAAAAAAAATTACATAGAAATTGACAAAAATAAACAAGATGTTAATAATTATATAGAATGAGAAGATAACATTAAATAGCTTTCATAAAACATACATATCGGAAATATAGACATTTCTCAAGTTAGTTATTAGAATGCATGATAGATATTCAACATGTTAATTTTCTGTATAAATACGTTGTCATCTATGTGAAAAAGAAAAGCCTATATTACATTTTTTTGTTTTTTTCATTCAACTATTGTATAAACTCTGTTCAATAATTTGTTTGTAATATTATACCTTTATATAGTCTATGATGATAAACTAATAAAAATTTGTTGTAGAAAAAAAAAATGAAGACACCTAACTAATCAGATGGTATATGTAAATGATTGTTATTTTTTTTTCGCTCTAAATATCACTCATTCATCGTTTATGAACCTAACAGACATAAATAATTATAATATGAGAATTCTTCCGGAAGATTTGTAAAAGTTTGAGTGCACAACAAAAAAAGGAATATATCTTTTGGAGACATTTCCATTAATCGATTAACAATATTGTCAATAAACCAGTTCAATTGGATCAGTTACAATTCTAACATGTAATAAAATAAACTTGATGGCATACAATAAAACCTTTTTTGCAAGTTTGACTGTTTTCTAGCATAATTGTGAATAAATATTTCGTATAAAAGTATAGATATATTTGGAATAGTGTGAGTAAAATTTCAGCTCGTTAGATATGATGCACTATTGTTTTGCATTTCTAAAAAACGAAAACTATCTATATTGTAATGTACCTATTTTACTACAAATAATAAAGTTAAAGGTTAAGTGAAATCTTTATTTAAAAATTTTCTTTTTTAGCCTTTGTAGTTAGATAGTTGAAGTATTTATCTTTGAAATTTTGCATTGAGAAAGATAGTGAGGCATTTGTAGATTTTTATATGTTGAAATATATTTTATGAATTTGAAAAATAAAAAGAAGTTTTTTTTTTAACAAAATTTTTGTATATTAATAATTAAAGTTAAGTTTTTGAATTGAAATGATTTGATTATTCAATAAATAGTTTTTTATAATACTCAATATTATCCTACAATTAAATATTTGATATATAAGAAAAAAATTTATCATGTCAAACAAACTTCTTTTGTTAACTCTATACTCTTCATTTTGCTATGTATTGATTATGGTTGAGATTGACTTCTTTTGAATATGTACTATTATCCCTCATTACTGTTAATCTGTTCTTTACTTGATCTTTATTTGTTAGACTTATGTATATATGTATAGAAGTTTGTTCGATGAATTGACTTACTTTTTAAACATTGAATATCAAAAAAAAGAAAAAGAATATTATAGTAAGATAAGAAAAACAAAAATTATATTGTCAATATTCTTTTTAAAATATTACTATTTTTTTATTAGATATAGTTATATTTGTTGTCAATAAATCAAGGTGTAAGCAACAAATGTATAATCGAAAAGAACATTCGTATTCATCGAACAAATATTAAGAAAGAAACGAGTCTTATTCATTCATGCCATATACCTGAGAAAAAAAAGTTTTTTTTTTGTCTTATATATATGCAAATAACTGCGATCGCTTTTTGTATTTTTTTTTATAAAAGTAGTAAAATAATATCAATAAACGATCACATATATATACTGTACTTTTTTTAGCTTCAAATTAAATATAATAGAACTATGACTTTTTTTTTTAGAGTAAGAGATTTTTCAGCAGAATACTATTATATTATTTATATATGTTAAAAAATTAAAAGAAAGCATTGAAAAATAGTCGGTATAATATAAATTTAATTATTTTTTTATTTTTAGAAAAAAAAAACAAAACAACAATGGAAGATCATAAAATTTTATCGGTATTAAAACATAGTCAAAATAGTCTTCCAACTGTTCCACAAAAAACTATGGATCCAAAATTTATAGTTGTATTATTTTGTGTTGAAACAGGTGCTTTATTTTTTAATAGTCTACATGTTCGTACACCTGAAATACATCTTTATAATGCATATAATCAAATACCTAAAATATATAATATATCATCATATATTTATTCTTGTTTTACAATAGTAAATCATTGTATATATGAACATGAAGATTTACGTTTTCTTAAATTAATACATTTAATATTTATATTAATTATTGTTATATGTTATTTATTTTTATTTATTATTATATTACGTAAATGGGAAAATACAAAAATTCGAAATGATTTAGGTATAACATGGTATGGTGCTATACAATTATTAGTTTTATTAACATTAGCATTACATACACTTATTATGGTTATACTTTATGAACGTGATCATATAAATATATATAAATGTAATAAAGAAAGTCGTTTAGTACGTGGTGAAAATCTTTTTACATATGTTGTACTTAGTATGCTTGAAGTAGCATATATTGGTTTTGATATATTAAATCGTCAAGCATCAATACATGCATTACATCAAAATTTTGAATATCGTGCACGTGTTGCTGAACATTTAGCATCATCAGAAGATTTTAATCATATGAATATAATACATCGTCGACAACATTCATCAATTGATAGTTTTGAAACTGTTAATCAAGATTTTATATCAGAATTAGTTGAATTTTAAATATTTTGTATTTATGTTTTATTATTTTTGAAAATAAAAAAATCAAAAAACAATAGTAGTAAATATAGACTATTAAATTTATTTATTAATCTTAAATATAAATGTAGATTTCTAATTTGAATTGAAAAAATTTCCGAGCCTTTTTTTTCTATAGATTATGACAGACATTTTTACTGCGTAGGCAAGTGTTACGATTAGTAATGAACGGGATGATCTCTAATATTCTATCTCTTAGTAACTGATTACTTTTTTTTTTTTTAAATACTTTGTTTATTCTGCAAGTTTATGTGTTTGACAATTCTGCTGTTGACAAGAAAAAGTGTTAATTTTAGTTACTATGAAAATTTGTAATAGTAAATATTAATAATGATGGTTACTCGTTCATTTTCGTATAAACTTTTAGAATACATGAATCAAAAAGAATATGACTTTTGATACAAATGTTATACGACTGACAAAAGATATTCTTTATAATAAGAAACGTTATTCTCAATGTTGATAAAAATGAAGATTGTATCTAGTTGTTGATTTTCATTTTTATATTGTAACATCTATTTCTCATCATGAATGAAAAAAAGTAAGTTCCTTGAAGTTTTGTTTATTGTAGATCGACATTCAATTAGACACATTATCAATAAAAAAATTTCATTGATTTTCTTTTAATTTGAATTAAACTATTTAGAAAATGCTATGAACTGACACAGTGGCGTAGCCAGGGGTAGGGCTATTGGACAATTGCCCATGGATTTATTGAGCTATGCGATGCTTGAACAGTTATTGCCCATAGATATTTTTGAAATCGTAACGATTGCCCTTAGCTGCCCGTAACTCAAAATAGTTCGGCTGATGAATTGCCCATGACTCAAAAATTTCTGGCTACGCTTCTGAACTGACATATAAATAAATATTCTCTATATAAAGTATATGTTCTGTTTTTAACAAACTTTCAAAAAAGTCAGGTCGTTTCTTAACAATCATAATTACAACGATATAAAAAACTAAAAATAGTCTTCATCATAGAGTTTTATTTTTCTATTAGAAAAACCACAGTTTAAATCATGATCAGAAGCAATCAGATGTTATTCGTCGATATTGAATTCTGTATCAAATGATGTGTTCTGACATTATAAACCGACAAAAAAAATGTTTCATTCGAGAAGTTTTTTAGAAAAATGTAAATTGAACTTTTGATTAACTAAACACTTCATTTTATTCAAAAAACTCATTGTTAATTTGAAATAAGTGCATACTTATGAAATTTCGTAACATAGAATTTCGAGAAAATAGATACGAATATTAAATTAAATTATGCTCAATAAGGATTTGTTCAATGAAATTTTGTTAAATTTTATCTTAATATGTCATTTTTATTGTGACAATTAATAAAATAAGCGAATAAAATACATAATGAGAAAATTTTGTTATGAAATTTCATATCAAAATTAGAGACGATTTTTAAACGTATTATCTTGATACATAAACATCTAACATTTGTACAAAGGTCAGATATTCAAAAAGTACGCCGTATCGAATCGATTAATAACTAACATAAGAAATGTTTTCGGTTGTACTAAATGCTGATCGAGTTGAACTCTTTCTATGTTTGGGCAACCAACGGAATGTCATTCCATTTAACAACCTTCGCATTCGCATCATAGACTCTATATCAATAACATTTTGTTATAATATACGATCTACTTCCTGACTGTCTTGAGGGAGGATTAAGGAAAAGGATGGTGAAGAAATCTGCCCCATAATAGATGTACTAAAACAAACTTTCAGTGATTAGCAACAGCAATTACTTTGTGTTGCACATTTCAATTCCGTAAGGATTGTGTCAACAATTTTAAGACGTGCATAAATGTTATTGGTGAGAGATTTTCACTTATACTTATTTGGTAAAAAATACAGATTCTCAATACTTTAAATTCCGAATTATGATGAAAAGCAAATTGCTTTGTTTATTATACTTTTATTAATTGACTGGATGTTTTTGACATAAAAAATATTGACAAACATCTTGAACAAAACTAAAATGTGTATTAGCCTTAATCTTTAATCAGTATTAAGCAAGGAAATTGTTTTTGTCTACCCGCAGAGACATCTCCCGTAGACTTTAATAGTCTTTATCAGTTACAAATTGAAATTCATATCATTAAAATCTTCTTATATACAACAAAAACTTTATTTGACATAGCAAAATGATCTATTGTACATATACTTTACTAGAATTCACATAGATTTTCGAAAGAAAAAAGTAAATGTAAATTTTAAGTCAAAATTTTGTTTCCCTTATGCACATTAGCAACTGGAGTCAAAAATCAAAGAGATCTCATTGAATACGAATCCTTTTCGTTACTGATATTCACATTGAATAAATGATTATATCATCAATATCAGGAATAATAGCTAGTGATGCACAGTCATCATATGGTCAACATAAAAAGTGCGAACTGATCATCATATTATAACTTACAAGAATATTCAATATCATTATGTTTGTAAGTTTATCACGATTCATAATAGTGCATTAAAATGTCTGCAATAGACTTATTTTTCAGTTAAACTCTGACTAAAGAGCAGACACTAACAAGGTCAATAAAACGAAACTAAAAGAAAATAATTCTATTCGAAACCCAAAAATAAGTAAGACAGTTCGTTTTTCTATATTGTCTGCGAAATACTTGAAGTATTTTATATTAATAAAATAAAGTTAAAGAAGATTTGTCAATTGAACATTCTCTAACTTCTGAATCTGTGCTAACAAAGTTTGTTTTTTTATATTGAAATTAAAGCAATATCGGTTGTTAATATATTTTTGTTTCATGAATTTTTTTTAAAGACTTTGTCAATTCAATATATGATTGAGAATTTGTTAGAGAAGAGGAACTAAAACATCACATTGTAAAATATTTGATCAGAAAAAGAAACGTGTACTCATATGACCAATATAATAAAATGAAAGCAGTTAGAAAAGATTTTGTCGCACTTTAATTTCAAAGTTTGGTGTAGACAGGATAACTACATAATCATATACATACTTCATCTTGTCAGTAACAGACTTATAGATTCTTCAAAGCTTATATAAATGCGTAAATATTTTCTTTAATCAAAATTTTCAACATGAATAGTTCAAACATATCTTATCCAAGTTTTTCATCATTAGATTTATATTACCTTTCAATTGTATCGAATATTTTTCTTTATGGATATATAATTATTATGATTATTGGATTCACCGGTAATATTTTCCAAATAATAACATTTTCACATAAAACAATGAGAAAAATAAGTACTGGTATACTATTTCTTGCATTAAGTATATCCGATACAGTTTATCTTTTATTATCTTTGTACATTTTAATTATTTATGGTTTTAATATTCCTGATCAATCAAATTATCCAAAACTATGTCAATTTCGACATTATATGTACTATCTTGCAACAAACTTTAGTGCATGGATGCTTACTACAAGTAAGTTGTAATAAATCGAAAATAAATAACATATTATTGTTTTTCAATTTTAGTTTCATGTGATCGTTGGATACGTTCACAATTTCCTATTAAAGCTAAACGACTTTGTACACCACGAACAGCTATTTATACAATTATCATGGTACTTATCATTGATTGTCTTTTACATATTCATATCATTACACCAATGTTTGGTCAAATAGCACCTGGAGTAACAACTATGTGTGGTGCTAATAGTCGTTATCCAAATTATTCATATTTTTATGAGAAAATTTGGCCAATTATTACTCTTCTTACTATTACTATTATTCCAGCAAGTTCTATGATATTTTTCTTTATAGCTATAACAATTAATGTACTTACTCATCATAATCGAATTATTCCAATTGGACAAACAAATGTAAATCGACGTGAAAAACGACGTGCACGTTTTCTTCATCGACAAATGTTAATACTTATGCTTGTTACTTGGATACTTTTTTCTCTTACAACACTTCCTGCTACATTATTTCGTTTTGTAATATCAACTTTAAATGTTCAACAATCATTTTCTTTTAGTCTTTTATTAACATCTATATTTGAATTTATAACACTATCAAATTATTCATTAAATTTTTATTTACATTGTTTGACATCAAAATTATTTCGAAAAGAATTTTTTAAATGTATTCCATGTTCTATTTCAATAAAGTTTCGTCGATCAAATGATACTGCTAATGGAAGTCTTACTCAACAATATTTATCTACTCAACAACAACGTGGAACTGTTACATAATTAATAGAATAATTATGAAATACACAATGAACTTAATCAAAAAACATAGTGCAACATCTTTTCGAAGATTTATTTTTTTTTCAAAAATCAAATATTATGTACAATTTTACATTGGAGGAGTTTTTTTTTTGTTCGTTTTATTCCAAAATTATTTAATGAAACTATTAGACTTTGCATTACAAAATAACAAAAGAAAACATCAATTGATTATTGTAGAATTACTGTCTTCATTTATGTCAAATATTTTGTTGTTGTATTATGAATTGAATTATAAATTTAGATGATATTAATGAAATGAATTTTCTATTTAGTATATCGATAAATTAGCATTTAGTTGCATTTTACAGCACGAATACTTTTCTAGCTGACGAAAGACCTATCCAAACTAATAGATATTATTTGAATTCATATAGAATGCATAAGAAAGTTTTGGTAAGACTAAATCAGAGCTGAAAAGGTTCTTCCTCATGACTTTTTGAAACCCTTTTATAGTCGCTGTATTCAAGATTTTTCGAAATGTAATGTTATAGAATGAAGTGATAAATCAATTTTTCGATTTTCATTTTTATTAGTATTCTAATCAACTTTACTGATTCAAGTGTGAAACATGTGAGCTAGTTAGTCATAATTAGTAAAGCAATAGTAACTTTTTTGATGCTTTCAACGCAATTTGAATCATCTTTTCTCAGATAACGGCTGTAATCCTCTTTTACATGTCTGTGTATTTCACTAAACTATTTGTATATATATTTCATATAAATAATATCAATTTACACAGAGCAAAGTCGAAACGTTTCAACTGTCTTTTAGCCTTGGACCCTCAACGATAAAGATGTGTCATATGATAAACATACTCTCACCTATATGCTAAGCATTTCTTTATCATTTTATTTTTATATTTTGCAAATGCATATAGCCAACTCAATGGAACATGCGGAACTTATACATTTTCATATGGTTTTTGTAAAACATGATTTTAAAGAAGTGCTGGAATATATAAGATAAATATTCGGTCCTTTCACACATCGTAAATGAATAACATTTCGTTATAATATGAGAACTATTTCCTTATTGCATTCCTAAAGGATTAAGTAAAAGAATGATTAAGCAATATATCCCAAAATAGATAGAATGAAGTAATCTCACTGTGATTAGTAGTAGCAGGTACATCGCGTTTCACATTTTAGTTCATCAGGAAATATATGAAAAGTTTTGAAAAAACTTTAACATTGATTATACTTCTTTATGAAACTTGCTAATTAAAATCTAGTACTATTTTGAATATTTTCGTAGCTATTTAAATGGATATTGATAACTAGTCAAAAATGATAAATAGCTGTTTTATCTGTAATAAAATTGTGTTTATTGGCCATTTTCTTATTATTAGTTATTTCAAAGTTTTGAAGACTATTCAAACAACAAAATAAACTTTCATTAAATGATTTAAATAGCTGATTCATTTAAGTGATGATTTCTATTCAATTGTTTTTTTTTTAAATATTATACCTTAAAACAATATCAAATATGCTACATGCAACATTTATTTATTTCGTTCTTTTAACTAGTACAATCGCTCTCTTGCCATTGTTTTTCGGAACTTTCAAGATAGATTTATATCGTACAGAAATACCTAAGAATGAATTCTTTAAAGTAACGAACGTATTCCAAACAGTTCAAAATCATTCATAGAAAGAGAAGAACATATTCTCTCTTATTCTTCAAATTATCTAATTCTTTACCATGGATTAAAGTTCAATTTTTAAAAAAATATGATACATTTATGATCAATCTTTTCATGATATGACAATTGAGTCTTGACAATTTAATTTTCGAAACTTGATTCTTCATCGATTCATTATGAAACAAACAAAACCAACACTCGATCACTTAATTCAACTTAAAAATACTGCATATAAACATACGATATCTCATGATATTAATGATTGTCTAGTATACTTCTTCATAGTTTATACAATGTAAATTGTAAAATCTTTATCAAACAATTATGTACAAATCGTGTATGTTTTAATAGTACAAAACATGTTAAAGTCACAACTCATAGCCAAGCATCAAAATCTGAAGAAATATTATTAACGAAGTTTAAATTAAAGATTGCGGATAGTGTAAAAACACCCAGCGACCTATTCCGACGAATTCATTTAATTAAAACCATCTTATATTGTTTAATCTCTTGTTTACATTGGATTCAAATATCAGAAACTTATCTGTCGATATATCCATTTCTTTTCACAAAATAGAGAAAAAGACAAAGTTAGCTGAAGAGAAACGGAAATCTTTTTGTTTTTTTTTCTTATGAAAGAAACAGAAAATATAAGACAATGTACTTGTGACATATCTTTCATCAATAGTTACATGATCTCAAAAGCTCCTGTTTTTTTAGCTTTTGTTTCATAAAGACTAACTGGAAAGTCTAGTCATAAGTGTTTATCAGTTAAATATAAATCGAAACAAACATTGAAAATAAAAAGTTAAATAAAAAGAAAAATAATATTCTCACCATAAATTCATATCTATCAAATTAGTCTAAGAAATAACATGTTGACCTTTCAAACAGAATCCTCAATACAAATTTGGAACAAAGCAAAATATAAATAAATAAATTTCAAATAAAAAAAGAACGTGATATAAGATGGAAATCATAGATTCTAAGTAGTATAAAGAAAAATATAAGAAAAATAAAGATTACCGTTTATTTGAGGTTCTTTTTTTTCTAATTGTTTTTACAACAATGAATAAAAACAATCAAGAGCGTATTCTGAAAAGGTGGAAATTCTTTGTTTTTTTCTTATTAAAAAAAAAAAGAATACTTAATTTTATGGAGAACGTTCTTTGCCATTTTATTCAATGAATATTTTACACTAAGCTTTCGTCTCTTACAATTAACTGGAAATTAATAATTAAAAAGTACCTGGTTTCAACTTATTATTATATTTAATTACTGAATAATAAATTTAATATGAAGACAAAAACAAAAAAAAGAAATCAATATTTTATAGTCAAATTAAAAGATAAGATAAAGTAAATAATTAATGCTTACTGTGGGTTGCGTTGTATAGTTCTCATTGTTTCCGTAAACAAATCATTGGAAATTTAAGGACGCCAGTAAAAGAATTGGATACTAAGATCTTACAAGATTCTGCCTCGAACCTCGTCAGATCAGAAGAAAAATCATAATTACAGAAATTTGATCCTGACTCGTGTCATACAGATATTGTTGTCTTGTAAGATATCACTATAACATAATAGAAAATTTTTATGCGATAGTAAGATCTTTCAAGAATCTTATAAAAAAGAATTAATGTAAGATTTTTAAGGTTATGATTTTGTGTATGAATACAACCTATCTGATAATCTATGAGTCCTATTGGATCGATTTCGATGACTTTAACCTGATTAACAATATTATTTAAATATTACTAGTGTCCTTTAATTAGTGTCTGAGAATGAATAGCTATTATCTTAAATATGTATGCATAATAAATAAATAACTGACAGTTTATTAATATTAATTATCTCACTACAAAATTATGTTACACATCTTAGTTCTCTATCTTCATCGGTTTTCTCTATTCATAAATAGCGCGAGATTTTTGACATCAACTCTATATTTTCATTAAAATTAACTAGAAAATATTTTATCACACTTTTATAATAGAATTTGATTTTGGCAGACTACTTGAGATATTACCGACAATATTTATCTTGTTAGTAACATACATATGGATTCTTTGGTATACATATAATTTGAGAAAATATTATCATTTTAATCAACATTTCAAATATGAATAGTTCAAATTCATCTTCTTTCAGTTTGTCATCATTGGATTTATATTATATTTCAATTTCATCGAATATTTTTCTTTATGGATATATAATTATTATGATTATTGGATTCTCCGGTAATATTTGCCAAATAATAACATTTTCACGTAAAACAATGAGAAAAGTAAGTATTGGTGTGCTGTTTCTTGCATTAAGTATATCCGATACAGTTTACCTTTTATTATCTTTGTACATTTTAATTATTTATGGTTTTAATATTCCTGATCAATCAAATTATCCCAAATTATGTCAATTTCGACATTATATACACTATCTTGCAACAAACTTTAGTGCATGGATGCTTACTACAAGTAAGTTGTAATAAATCGAAAATAAATGAGAGGTGTCCAAGGACTGAGGTTTGGGAATTCTTCCAATTCCTAAAATCACCAGCTAAACGTGACATATCCCTCGAGGAACTGAGAACTGACCCTCAAGCACTTCACGAAACCTCCTCGGTTCGTCATCAATTCCTCCTCGTGCATGAATCACAAACCTTGGCAACGACAGTTCTCAAGCTACGATGCCTTCTCATTTCCTCCCGTGGGTATTGACCGCCGACAATCCCTCAGAAAGGAATCGAGGAAATAACTAGAACTAACCGTCAATACCGATCGGGGGAATTGACACCGACATTAGCCACCATCATTCGAATCCCATAAGAAGGATCCAGACAATAACAATTACCACACCAATGCGAGGTGACGCCTGGAAACTAAGGAATTGTGACAGTTCTGTTGACAGTTCATAGGAACTGTCACAGTTCTCCGGCTTTTTTCTATATATGGTATAATTTTAGTATCTAAAGAGTACTACGTCATTACCTCAATCTTCCTGGAGAACTGAGGGTAGGTACCGCGTAGGTATTCATCTAAGTTCCTAGGAAGTGTCAGCAGAACTGTCACAATTCTTCAGTTCCCCGTCTTTTTTTTCTGTATCTGATGTGATTTTAGTATCTAAAAAGTACTACGTCGTTACCTGAATTCCTCGCGGAACTGAGGTAGATGCCTAGAAGAAACCTACCCTAAGTTCCTATTACTTCGAGAAGGATTGATTAGCTGAGTCGTATACCCCTTCGTTAATAGGGATAATTCTTTATTTTTCCTGGGGAATTGGTCACGGAAATTTCAACCAAGGAATTGTCATTTAGGACTGGG